CACACACACACACACACACACACACACACACACACACACACACACACACACACACACACACACACACAGACGCTTTGAAACTCAAAGTTTGTCTTTTTTTTTTTACAAGGAGCCAAAAAGTCGCTCTGCTTATTTGGCGTTTCCTCGTGATTCATCATAGTAATCATTATCATCACGCCGACCATCACTCATGCATTTGAGATACAGCGTTTCATCAGTACGGACTTCTGACAAGTGCTCCCCCTGAAATTAATTTGTGTATTCTCATTAATCACACTTTGCTGATGCAACATCCATCATTGATGAGGTGTGGACAAGATGGTGATTGGTGCGCTTGAATGCTGTCTTGCTGATTTAGTAACCATACATACATGCTACTTCATCACCATTGCAGCACTGATGTGGGCATACACACACACCTATAACTAAGAAGAGAACATACACACACTATTTGAAAAAGAATTGGGACCAGTCGTATGGTTTTAAACACATTAATTGTCTTGGAGAATGACATTCTAATGGGCTGAAATTCTTCCTCGCTTAACTGAAATCTACTTTTACGGCTTAACAATTAATGGAAATCTTATCGAAATTGCAATATGTCCTACTGCTATTTTAAATGATTGTTAAAGGCAAAAAATATGACACCATGATCTACTAATATGTTGTTCAATGAAAATAAAAATCATAATATCTGATACTGCATATCAAAAACGCAATATCAGTCAAAATAATCAGAATTAGATATTTTTTCAAGATGTTTAAGACCTACATTAATAACAGAAATCCTGTGTTCTTTCAGATTAGATATTTTGCGCTTGACTGGTGACTCTGAAGACTATTTACATCCATGCTAGGACTAAAGATCCTCTCTCCTTCCTGTGGTCTTCTTCACGCATCCATCCAGAGTTATATGCGAGATAAGCAGTAAGCAGAGCAGCCCTGGCATATTTCCCTCTGAGACTTCCTCCAGCTCATCCACGCCAAACCCGAGCTGGTTCTGCACCAGCTGACTGATGTAGTCCCTCTGGTGCATCTCGGTGTACAACAAGGTCTTCTCCCAATTACACAGCCAGAGGGAGGCACCTCGAGGGCACTCTGCACCTGTCTGAACCATCGAATCCTTTAAGCTGAGTTCTTCCTGGATCATTTAGTTTCTCGCCCTGTTTGAGTACGAGTTGTGTAACGCTATAACTTATTCAGGTCACTACCTCAGTGATGGTCAGAAGGAAGACTGGCCTGTGAATCAAAGGTCTTGTTTGGAAAGATATAAGGCCATGGTAAGTATAAGAGGTGCTTTATCTGTGTAACAACAGACACACATATGTTTTATCCTTAAGGCGTAGAACATGTGAATATACAATCGGTACTTGTTTTCCATCTTAGAGAAGAAGAGGACGTTTGTGCAGGCAGTCAGCTGCTGCATGGATCACAAGTCTCATGTATATATGTATATATAATATAAAATTTCCATTAAACAAACGGCAAGATACAGTTAAGCACGTATGTCAACACAACGGGTGAAGGTCTACTGAGTTCAGAGCAAAAGTAGAAGCACTTAAGCATTTACATAATGTACTTAAGTAGATATGTTCCATTACACGTCACAATCATTTTTACCTTTACATGCGATACCTGAACTCCTTCACTTCCTACCAGCTTCCCATGTTCTGCCTGAAATTAACCAGACACCTTAAGCCAGCTAGAGGACCTTGATGACCACCATCAAGTATTACAGTCCATTAATGCACAAAAGGACAACGTCATCAGCACAACTGCAGAAATACCACTTTAATATCACTAAACTTGACCGTTACCTTGATAAACTATCCTTGAAAAAAAGAGAGGGAATCAAGTGCAATGAGTTTCACGTCATGTCGAGAGTGCAACAAATCTCTCACTGTCAGTGTTTTGGATTCAATAAATGAATGACTAGAAAATCCACTCAGTGTTTCCCTCAAATGTGACCTGAAGCATCTTAACTGCCTAAACATTTCCAGATGACCTCAATTTTTCTGCACGTATTTATCTTCAAAGCCAAAAGCATGTTGCCCTCAACGTTTAAATATTGTTTGGTTGCCTCTTTCTCATTTAGATTATAAATCATCAAACACAATGACTCAGGGAACATGTAGTCTCTGTTCTCTTCTTGACAGAAGAATATTTCTGTTCATGTGGAAGGACCCACTGCCACCAGCATACTGACATTCGGTTAAGGGGTCATGCTGCATTAGTTGGTATTTGTCGTATATACTTATCTGTTAATGAAAAAGACCTTCAAAAAATGAAAGAAATCTTCCGATCTTCGGACATCAAGCTCGTTTTCACTTTAAACAAAATGTCTGATTTAGCATTTTGTGTTACAGATTTATTGCACACAGCGTTCACACACATGGGTTCGTCTGTATGTTTCAAGTCTTCTAGTGTTTGACTCAGTGGGGTCCCCCCCCCTCCAGCTGGGAAATGGTACTAGCATGTGGGCCAGCATGCACAGAGCTCCCGTCCACATGGAGAAATGAGTATAAAGATGTGCCTGACTGTGCGTGTGGATGGGAGGACCTTCTCGTGTAACAGAGAGGACCAGGAGATAATGAGGCGTGGTCCTGTTGCCCCCCTGCTCAGTCACTCAGTGGCTGCATGTGGGACTGTGATGTATGGACAGGAGGAGGTGCACAGCTTGGAACTGCAGCAATATGAGCTCTCACTCTCACATAATAACTACACAGTCTTTGCACAACACAAACAAAGACAGAAAGGACAACAGGCCCACAATGCTTTTCACACTCACCACATCGATGCCAGACAGCTGCATGCCGATGTTGGCCACCGCAACGGTAATGACCTGCCAACGAACAGAGCGGTCCCTGAGCAGGCCCCAAATGGAGATGGTCTGGATGGAAGACAGAGAGCGCTGCTCCTCCTGCATCTCATCAACCTCCGCCTGGATGCTTCCTTTCGGACGGTACCACTTCAGGGCTAAAAAGACAGAAAGGAAAAGCTTTGACCGGTCCCGACAGAAACTTAAAAACCCAACAGGAAACAGAAGACACGAACAGGTCCATTCATCCTCGTGCAGTGAAGTTCATTTGTTATCAGACACGACAATCAAGAACTGCAGCTTGTTAAGAGAAATGAAGACACAGTCTTTACTCCATATGATCAAACATAACGAGCTGATTTGGTAGAAAACAAAGAGTCCACTTTCTAACCTGCGATGGTGGCGTCAATATTTCCCTTCTCGATCAACAGGTACCGCGGACTCTCTGGAAACCAGGGCAAGAACATCAGCTGGATGATGGTAGGAAACACCACCAGGGACAGCAGCAGAGGCCAGTACTCCTCCTGTGTGACAACAAAACATGACAATCAATCAGCTGCTTTTAATGATCAGCCTATAATCTGTAGTAAGTACGTACTATTTAAATGATAGAAAAGTGAGACGGGATGAACCACAAAGCATGGCATTGTCTACTTAAGCTTCATTTTTCAGCAATCCCCCCCCCCCCTACCGTATCAGACAGAACTGGGCAGATGGAAGAATCAGGTTCTAGCAGATACATGTCATACAAACGATTATCTGATTATAACACAACAGTGTGTTCACGCGCCGTATCCTGCTACTTATTCATGCTTATAAGTGATTTGTGAATGTGCCATAGTTTACAAAATTACACCAGTGTACTTAAAATAGTTTTAAGCTCTGTGAGTAAAATGAAATAGAATCTGCTGCGTGTTTCTGATGCAAAGTCAGGACTACAGGACAGACGACGGGACTTGCCGCCTGAGCTGATGCATATGCCCCAAACTCACTACTAATGAAATCCATATCATGTAAAAAGAAAAAAATGGTACAACGGGACGAAGGATGAATCTGTTCAGACAGCGAGCGTATTAACCAGCCACAGACACAGCACAGCAAACCTGTGTAGCGCTTCAACGCTAACGATGTTAGTACCTTTCCCAGCAGCTCAGAGAGTCCCAGGACCTGAGCGAGGAAGACTCCGAGACAAATGTGAATGCTGGGAACGAGGCCCAGGAAGCCTCGCAGGTTCTTGGGGGCGATCTCACCGAGGTACATCGGCACCACACTGAGACAGATACCTGTGGGGAACAAGAGGGATTACCATGAGCTGAACCAGACAACAGATGACACAACTCAAATGTGCTTTAAAAAATCTAACAGGTGGCGTGATTTATTTTTTGGGGCGTCTGCGTCCTGAAAAAAAAGACATGTTTGTTCATAGTTACAATTCAATTTTCTCATTCTTAATGTCAGACATTAAATCTCCAACTTGATGAAGGTTGGTGGACTGTAAAATACCCAAATAAGCATATTTGCCCTTTTTGTATGTTATAAATATAAGAGGATCAATCAAACCAACAAAACCAAAAACTAAAGCAACATTTTTTCATGCGTTACATTTTTACAAACTTTATTTCCACATGCATTTGTTTGTATTATCAGAATGGAGGGATGGATCTCAAAAAGTGAACAAATGAACAAAATCAAAACACGAGCAGCACTTCCAATTCCAATGAAATAACTGCAAATCAACAAAAGCAAATGAAACAATGTGCTATTGTAGCTTTGTGCTATCCATCTGCAATTTCACTTTTTGCTTCAGCTCTTTGTTGTGGATAAATGTAACACATTGTAACTCATTCAGTCATTCAGGGAACAGGCAGGCCTACCTGAGTGTACTCCTGTGATGAAGCGTCCAACAATGACCATCACGGGCATCCTGCATGCTCTGCTGAAGCCCATAAGAGCTCCTCCTATAAACACCAGCATAGCGGATCTCACCAGCGTCCCTTTCCTGTTTGACAATGTTGAATAAAGAGCAACGAGTCCAAAGAATATAAGACAACTGTCAGGAACACAGGCTGATGACACAAACATAAACATGCACTGAGCGTGTGTTATACACCCAAAAATCACCCACACACACACTAACCTTCCATATTTGGTCACCAGTCTGCCCACCAGCAGGGCCCCGGTCATCCCACCGATAGCAAAGATCGACACGGTGACGGAGTACAAGACGGTGAGGAGCTCCTCATCCAGAGCCCAGTCGTAACGTTCTACCATCGTCTCATTGTAGAAGTCTTTGATGTACTGGTGGAGGAAGGAAAGAATTAGGTTAATGTAACGTTGTCCAGCAGGAGAAAGATAAATAAGCCATTACAATATACGTCGACTACGTGGAATTACAAGATCATTTCTTCCAATAAATTCTGTTTTGCCTTAAAAAACATACAAACATCTATTTTAATTTGCACCCCCGCTCACTCCAATGGACCCGGAGCAAAAAAATAGCGGCCATGAAATTTGACACCACCATCATATGAGTAACTATTTCCAACAGTGCCACACATCCAAATGTCAACATTAGTCTTGCCATTTGCGCAGCACCGCTGCACTCGGGCATGGGATGAAGAGATGTTTGAATCAGCGGGAGAGGCGGCCATATTGAGTAGACGGGAAGCTCATCGAGCCCCCACAGTCAAAGTCAAATCAAATTTGACGATTAGGGATCATAAACTGCGTGCTTGATAAAATGACAGTGGTTGTTCTTGTGGTGTGACAGAAATTGACAGTAAGGGCCAACAACATCCCTCAGATTTCATTCAGGTTTATCTGACAGCGAGGGCTCCGCTGAGATGTCCTGGAGAACCTATTACATTAAACCCAATTCATCTCAAGAGACACAATTCAGTCACTGTCTGCCAAACAAGACATCAGGAAGCGGAAACAGGAGACGGAAAAAGAAGAGTTTAATTAGTGTGAGTAGTTTTAGTATTACTACTGATCAACAGATTAAAAGATGAATCATTTAGTTTGTTAAGATAGTGTAGACGCAGAATGATCATTTGAAGGACTGGCCCTGAGGGAGTTCAGTGATAAAAAGAAGGGAGTGACGTTAATTCGTCAATTTGTAATGGAACTCTGGACAGTGTGCCTCCAATTTGTCCAAGAATGTCTCCAACACGTGCGGGGTACTGTACAAACTGGCACTCTCTGTACAGTTCTGACACATAGCTGACCAGTTTATTGTTCACAATCATTGCGTTGCAACAGCCTGATGCCGGTTGAGACAGAATTAATTGAGGTTACCTGCAGAATCCAGGGATTCTACCTTTAGTTAGTTGCCAACTGGAGTTTGAGCACCACAGCACGATATTACTTTATTATTGTAAGCAGTTATTATTCTGTCACTTTGTTCGTTTACTGCAGCAGCTTAATGTTGCGAGGTAAGGAGTGGTTCTGATCTCATGTAACCTTATTCAAATAAAAATGATCAAGATCAATTCCATGCAGAATTTAAATAGCAGGGGAGAAGGAGCTCTGGTCAGAGGAGTACTCTGCATCAGCCTGTACCTGAATTTATCAGAATCGGTATCTGGAGAGAAGAAGGGCACGTGGAGCACATGGAGACTCAGCAAAATATCTAAAAAGGCACCAGAGAGGGAGGAAAACCTCGCTGGAAACCACAGAAAAGCACCACTTCAATAGTGCAACACTGCACCTTGTGACACGTTCCTGCACATCGATTTAGCCAAACTGAGAGTCTAGCGACGTCATTGACACATAGCAAGTGATACACAGTAATAGGTGTTCAAAATCAACAGGAAGGGAAATACATATTTAATTGTTTGACTTCTGCTCAATGTTAGCCAGCCTTTGCTTCGTGCTGTGCTTTGAGTCACACGGCCTCAAGACCAATTTACATGACGTCAGAACAGAAGAAGAATAAAAGACAAGCAGGCGACTAAGAAAGTCACGAGAACAACGACCGTGACTTTCTCTCTGCAAACAGATGCTGATTTCTGCCTTCAACTATGAAGCCAAAAGTACTCTTCAAGGCCAACACATTTCAATGAAAACTAAATGATTTAAAAGATTGAAAAGTGTTACTGCTACTCTAAACACTTAATCTCTCCTCCTTTGCTATGGCCATCTACCTGAAATAAACAGCTGAATCAGAAACAACTTTAATTCTCTTATCATGTAATCTGCTTACCAAGACACACAAAGGTAGTTCTTTAGGTAAAAACTCAACTCACCACCAAATGAACCTCCTGCCACACCTAACGTTTTATTTGGAGCACACAGGCATAAATAATGTCACATGACACACAGCAGTCAGCAGTGAATCCTACAAAGGACGGTGAAGTCACATGGACCATGGTTAAAGGTTTGACCTCACCACATTAGCAGCCGTTTGGAATACGTGTGACAATGATCATTTGTCTGTAATTGAACAAGCTGCAGAGTTCAAGTTAAATCTATGTGTTGTGTGCGAGAGGTCACATCTACAGAGTATTATCCCCCAAATCTGCCCCTCAGCTTTAGGTTGAGTTTCAGCTCATTCTTTGGCTGCTTTGGTTCACATTCAACACTCTCGTAGTGTTGTCTTCAGTGAAAAAGCTCTAAAAACCCACCGTGCATTAGATGCACGGCCATCAACAGCAAAAACAGACACAGTCAGCTGGTGAACAATGTGGTGCATTTAGCAGCTAAAGCGACATATATTTCCCCTCAGCGGATGGTGGAGACCAAAAACAGAGCTAAGAGAGATTATTAAGAGAGAAATATTTGACTTACATTCATCAGGTGGACAGAGACACAATGTTCCTTTGTAACTGCTGGATCTGTAAATAAGCAACTGTTTGCTAAAAATATTATCCATATTGACTTAAATTTTGAGCTGGAAGGAGGTTAGCTTAGCTTTGCCACTGGAAACAGGGAAATAGCTGCTGGCTATCCGACATTAGATACAAAGACATAATAAGATCGTGAAAAATCTCATAAAACTACATATTGTCATTTTTACATTTATCTGCATATATATATATATATTAAACAAATGAGATATAACACGTTAATTAGTCAGCTTTAAAGGTGAGAGTATTTATTTTTTACTTTGCACAGCGCCAGGCTAGCTGTTTTCCCTGCTTCCAGGCTTTATGCGCAGGCTTGTCCATGGCCAAACAGGAATGGTGCACAGCTTAGTTACTGCACGGCAGTGATGGAGCAGAGCACATGATGGATAAAAGACTCAGGACATCGATGACATGGTGAGGCTCGAGCATCCTCTAGATTTGATACACACACCCACATGACTTGAAATGAAATACAATCTGATCTTTACTTTGTTCATTAACAAAAGTCATGCATAGCGTATAAGGAGTGTATCCATTCATTCATTCTTGGAATATCTGGATTTCTCGGGTTAAGAGTGAAAACTATTTTAATGCTTGGGTGGATGGTGACCAGAGTGGTGAGTAACACGATGTTGATGATGCGGTGGGGACACAAACCTGTGCAGGAGAGTTGACGACTGCCAAATTGTAGCCATAGAGCATGGAGCTGCCGAACGAGGCCATGAAAGCCACCGCCAGCAGAGGCTTCGTAAGATGCTGAAGAGAGGATGGCGAGAGAAAGTCAGAGAGTCAGAAAAGCTACACAAAACAATATCCAGAGGCCTGAGATTACAGAAATGTGTTATTAACACGACTTGGGTATAAACGTAAAGGGTTTTTTCTGAAAGGGATTTTCTATATAAAATGCAGGAAGTGTAAGCTATTAGCTCGGACTAGAAATCCACAACAGATATGGGTTCTTTGGGTTTTGAGCTGAAAAAGAGAACTAACTGTTGACTGCACTTTGTGTGTATTTTCTAGGCTTGTCTGCAGCTCGTAGAGAGATTAGCTGGCTCTGTGTGAGTATTTGCCAGCGTTATTATAAGGGTAAATGTTGCATATGAATCTGTGATCTTTGGACTTCACAGCAGAGCTGAACAGGCACTGAGCGGCACGTGACAGAATCAGAAGGAGGGAAACAAACCGGCACCTGGATACTGGCCAGATCCAACCGGCTCACTTTGAATGAGCAGAATAAATCACGAGTTTGCAGAAAACACTGATATGTTGAAGAAACAAACAGCTCCAATTCTCACAAGTTGAACTCAACAACTAAAGCCTGCAAAGGGCATCGGGAGTCACATGAGCCCCTCTGTCTTTAAAGAGGGACGGGGCAGACTACTGTATTTCATGCTGCTACCCTTTTGGCTGCTGTCCTAAATTCCAGCACACAGAGCGTAGCTGACCTCCAAGGTAAG